GCCGTGGCGACAGCAGCGAGAGCGAGACCGACATGCTGGTATGTTCGGGTGTTGGTGTTCCGCTGGAAGATTGGTTTGGTGAAGATGACCAGGCTAGAGCTGCAGAGCTTCTTTATTCCAGCGGCTAGGACAGTTTTCTCGACGCACTAGACGCAAGCCGCGACCGCTCTCGCGGCCCCGGCGAACTTGACGGAGAGAGCGGCGACAAGGCTGATGATGATGTTCAGCCTCAGGACACCGGCGAAGCAGAAGCTGTGGGAGACACCGGCGAAACAGCAGCTGTGGGAGGAGCCGGGCACGCAGCCTCTAGCGGTACAAGTGGTGAGACCGTCCGAAAAAGTTCGAGGACGAACCTTTTCGACGGGCTGTACGCCGACCCCGCCCGCGCACGAGACGGGGCACGCGGCCGATGCAGTGGGCCTGGGCGAGGAACACGGGTGGCGTCGGGGGATGGAGCCAAGGGGAGGTTTGCGGGGTTGAACAAAAAACGATTGAAGCACAGAAGGCGCGAGGAGAGGAAGAAGACACCGGAACAACGAGCGCGAGAGCGAGAAGCGCGAGAGCGAGCGCGAGAGCGAACGCGAGAGCGAGCACTCAAAGCGCAGAGAAGGCGGGAGAACACGCCGCGAGAGAAGGAGCTCTTGGACATCTACCAGAAAGTGGTGGACGCTATCGACAAGGTGAATAAGTATGCAATGTATTTCAGAGTGTTGCGTGGTAGTGTTGTTGCCGTTGATTAGTTTGCTGCTAGCATACTGCTTCCCTCGTGGCTGCTCTTTCCTGTATCCTGAATTTGTTGTGGAGCTAGTGCCACTGCCGAAACCATTCCTGCTTGTCTGTCAATAATAATTTGCAACTGTTGAATGCAACCATGTCCCTCAATCTGACGCCTTCCCGGTTTTGATTGCTTGAATTTCAATTTCTGTGCACACCTCCGTACAGGCGGAGCAGTCCAACAGCTACAGCGGTATTGTGGAGGACCCGACGGAAATGCTGACGGAATCTCTTCTCCCGTCCATCATGCGTACCGCCTTGGCGATTCGGGCGTACGCTGTCCTCGAGTAAGTGGAAACGCCCAAGAAGCGCCGTGTGCTTGCTGCTCGCACTGCTGCATTTCTGCTCTTTGAGATCGCCCTTGCCCTCTGGTTCGTGGCGTGCTCTGTACATACATACAATGTTCCCTGGCGAAGTGGTTGCCGAGTAGCATGTGTAGCTGGTACGTTTGGTGATTATCTTTTTTAGACCCTCTTCCTATGTGTGACCGGGCGCACGGGGTACGTTGTGTATTTCTGCCATGCTCTCTTCAGAGTCGTAACGCCGAAGGCTTGAAGAATATTCTTGTGTGAAGCACTCATCGTTCCCATGTTGAAGTCGTTGCCTTCAGGATTGAGGAAGGTGTCAACAAGTTGCGGCACAGCCGCTACGTCGGAGATGTGGTGAAAACCACAGCGCAGACGGTGCGCAAGTGGGTAAAGGAGTTCTGCCAAGACGGAAAATTTATCATCAGAAAACGACTTTACGAGATAAGCCAGGCGGACTCCTTCATTGACCATGAGGACATTGCCGAGCGTTGCCGGGAGGAAATCGACCGGCTCTCTCATTTTCACGTCCGTCCCCTTACCTCTGAAAGTCCGAGACACGAAAGCGCGGATCCGTTTTCTTCCGGCGGTAAAGCCGC